CTGCACGCTACAACTTCGTGTGTGATGTTGCTTGCTGGTCGTGGATTGACTGAGTCTTGATTACCGGTTAAAATGTTGCTCTTTTGGCGTTGGTATTGTTTATTTGGAACTGAGTAACGCCGCAACGTCGCCAGCAGAAACCTGGTATCTCGATGCTGATGGTTGCGCCTGCATAGTAATCGCTGATTTTACTGCTGGTGGATCTTCTGAGAGCCCTTCAAGGTTTATAAAACTCAGTTTCCAGGTGGTCAACATACATTAAGTTCTCCCAATAGTAGTATTCCATGTGATGTACACCTGACATGCCAAAAATGTTGTTGAACGATTTGAACTGGATAAAAATAGCAGACGAAAATGTGTTTACAAAATAAAAATAGTTCGGTAGCCAATGAAAATACCATGTTCATTTGCATATCGACCGTGAAAATACCGAAAACATTATTGCATGGGTGATATGCAAATTAATTTGGGCCAAAATAAGTGACTGCCTAAAAGTACCGTTACTGTTGTTCAAATTTCATTTCACTCGGCAAGTATATTCATGTACCCCAAGGGGAAAATATCATACTTCTAAATATTGTTTATTTCGAAAAACTGTACTCCTGAAGGGACTACTTTGTTTGCTCTCAGACCTCATTTGCAGATGGGTTGTGGAAATACTGATTTTGATTTCAGGGACGAATCAAAATAAACTGCAGTACATATGTAATAATTATTATTATTATTATTATTATGCAAATTATTATTATTATTAAATGAGGCTAGTATTTGTAGAGGAAATTATGAAGGGAAATTATTGCATCATTACGTTCTTCATTTGAATAGAACTATTATTTGATCACAAAAGTATATACATGTAACTTCATTTCAATTCAAGCATCCCCTTTAAATCCTTTGAGCATTCACAAATTTTAAACCCATATATTTTTTCTTAATTTTTCCCAAATTTTTATTAAAACATATATTAAATAGGAAATTATGTTCAAAATAATAAAATTCAGAAAAATACATAAAAATAATGGAAATATTGTAGTAAAATTGTGTTGAAAAAGTGGAACATTTGATTATTTTTGAGTGTTATTAATTTCCATCATGCTGGCAATGTTCCTAGAGAGATTGACAGAGATAGTGATTTATTTTATCAGTTTAATTCAGTGTCTGCTATAATTCCAACTAAAATAAATTCTCCATGACAATAGGACAAGGTGCATGCGTTAGCACGCCATCTCTTGGGTTGCAAAATCTTTCCAATTTTATTATCGATACTGTATTTGATCTTTTACCAATAGTAGTGCATAGCTGCTTAATATAAATGACAGTGTGTCTATGGTCAAATATTGTCATATTTTAATGATATCCAGCATAAAATTAATACAATGTTTGGGTTATGTGCATCTCTATCAGAGATGCACTTCAAACATGACAAATCTTTAAAAAAAAACTTTTTACCTCCAGCATCAACTGAAAAAAAAAACTAATCCCCAAAGTATGTTGTTCAGACATGAAAAGTGCCTTGAATGTGTGCATGGGTATCCATTTCTGTAACATTTATGAAGAAGTATCCTATGGGCTGTCTGAAAGAAATAACTGCGAATGGTATTGCACATATAAAGTGTTTAGATACAAACATTACACTACTCATTTTAAGATGAAATATTTGAAAATTCTGTGTAGTAGATATCAAATGGAACAGGACATGATCATGTAAATTGAATAAAATACTTTTAATGAAATTCTACTATTTTCTTTGGATGAGTGGAATCTGGGTCGGGACAGATTAAAATATTTTTATTTTATGGAATGCGTTTAAGCTAAAAAAAAGACAAATGATTTAAGAGACACTAGTTATTTGACATGTATCATATTTGCTATATTAGTAGCTCATTTCCAACAAAAGGGCATATAAACCAAAAATCGTATTGGTTGTATACTGAATGCTTAAAATATTACTTTATTTGACCATGGTGTGGGTATATGATTCGTAACTGGGCCATATTCAAAATGAGTAAAAAATGCCAGGTTATGCAAACAAATCAATCACTAGAAAATGTATGCGCAAGTAATAAAAACTAGAATAGTTTATTACGTCAATACAGTATGTGCACTGATACACCAGAGACCTTACCAGAAAGTTAGTAATACATAAACAAAAGAGATACAAGCGTAAAACACAACAACGCGGTAAAGACTAGCGCTGAAATAGTTGCGCGTCCTACTTATAGTCTCGGTAGGATATTGAACCCTAGGCGGGAATGTCTCTAATTGGCCGAAAGTTAACATTATAGAGCTACGTAATAAAGTGGTGTTTTCTATCACTTTCGCACTTCTGTCAACAACATGTCTATTTATAGATGTGGTTTAAAGCAAAAAATTGTGCATATATCGATTATGCAAAAAATAAGAAAACTACGATAATGCAATAATAATTGTTTACTAATGATAATGATCAAAATGCTTAACACAACACATGTACAAATCTCATGTGTATGTGCTGCTAATAGAGCAAATACGGTATGTATTATTTTAATTGACTCTTACTATCATGGATTTTACAAACTTTTCTTAGTGAGGCTGGAGTCAAAATTTTTTAGTGAAATTAGGCATTCTGAGAATTTTTTTTTCACTTTCATACCTTTTTTTGTATTCAAATAGACCTGGTGTTTTAAAAGATAAAATCATAATATTTCTCAGTACTGAATTTGATTAGGTGAACACTGTTCAGTGCTAATGAAGGAGAACAATAAAGGCACACCACATTAACACATCCCTTTCTCCAATTCATTTTGAGTATCCATGGAATATGAAAAACAAATAGCAGAAGCATGATTCTAAATTAAAAGCGCTCACAAAATTAAACCATACAAAAGTAGGTCAAAAATCAGTTTTACTTCTCCATTTTAATAATAACATCTGTACCTCATAATCTTTCTGTGGAAGGCTACCTTGTTCTTCTCGGTTGGCACCAAGCACAGTCTGTTAATTAAAAATGAGAGTATTAATGATTATTAAATGCATTCAATGCCAAACACACAATGTAAATCATGTAAAAAAACAAAAATCCATTTTTGGCCAAAATTAAGCACAACATGGACAGGCCAAATGTCACCATGATGCATTTTCAGAGGGCGTAAGAAAAAGAATATGGTGGAGCCGTGGAGGTATAGTAATTGTAGAAACTCCATCGAAATTGCAAGGGTCTAACGCAAATTTGGATATAAAAGGAAAGATGACAACTTCATTTCAGTAAGCAAATTTCATTCACTCCATGGTGAAATATGGTTTTGACATTAGTTTACATTAGATTTAATGATAATTCTAGTCTAAAGTTTATGCAAAAGCATGTTTTAAACAGCCATGCAAGTCTTTCATAAGTTGATTAAAACCAAAATGTGAAAATGCCAAGAAACATCCTCATTTTGAAACAGAAATTAAGAACAATTAGGAAACAGATTTGGGTGTAGGTCTAGCCGAGAGGTGTGGGGCTGGGAAGCATGGCCCTGAATGTGTGGGGCTGAGGAGACATAGAGCAGGGAATGCATGGTTGCCATAGTATGGAAAAAGAGAAATGCAAACTCCTATTTTATTTATGGCTTTGAGGCGCCATTCATGTCTGAAAATATAATGCAATAAATCACTGTTTCTCATGTTTTTGTGGAGCATTTAGTCACTGTTGGTGTGGGTGGTGTGGGTGAGGGTGTCTTCATTTAAATAATAGACTCCACCTGCTCTTGTTTATCACACCAGTCTTTAATTCAAAAAACATATGGTACAAGTATCAATATTGTAAATTGTTCGTCTTAGAGAACTTATATTACAGTCACTATCACATTGGCCTTATATTCAACCCATACTTAAACTTCTGTAATAACAAATTGCAACATAGTATATTTTATAGTGACGTATTATGTTTACTATATTCATAAGGTTTATGATTTTATTGGACTTTATACTCAATGTCAATTGTGTACATTCCACTTCTGTATTTCTTTTTTTTATTTTGTGTTAATAAAATCATTCATGTGATAACATATGGCCCAAATGCAAAGAAAAAGACACGCTTCTATCAGTCAAGCAAACAAATGCTAAAGCAGAGGTGAGGATAATGGCTTATACAAAGATTTGTTTTTATTCGTAACAAAAAAACATTCAAAACAGTGTTCTGTAAATATATAAAAATATCCATGTGTCCAGTTTTCATGAGAGTAGGTGAATGCAACCTCTTACTATCCAATGGTAACTCTTACTATCCTCCTATATATGCCTAGCTACGATGCTGGTAATATCTCATTACCCATTCAGATTTATACAAACGTCAATGTGAGTCACTATGTGTGCCTTACGCATCTTGAATAAAATTATTCATTAAAATTATATGTGTAAATGTTGCTTGCCGGGAATTACCCATAATTATACGATCTCAGATTATTGCAGTGCGTTGATGGCATTTTCCTTCAACCAACAATTTTACGGCGAAATAGTCAACAATGAGATATCACCGTAGCTAGGCGATTTCGAGAGAGCCAGCTAATAAAACATTCAACAGCCTGAGAAACGCGTGATTTTATGAGGACTGTAGTCTACGATGGCTGGCTGCAACTGTTATTTGTTAAACAACTGCGTATAATACATGCGAACAAAGTACGTTTACATACGCCTCTACGGTGAGCCAAGGGATAACCGATTCACAAGGTTACACGCCCCTTTCAGTTCGTAACCTCAACAATAACAATACATGTGCCGCACAATCGAACTGATCAAAAGCTCGCTTGGACGTTCGCGTAATTAAGCATACCGAGAATACTTTAAATACTACAAGTAACATCAAAAGAATTGTGTGTGGTTAATCCATAATTAGTGTACTCACCATTTCCTCCGTGTTGTCATCCCGTGGTTTGCAACACGAGCACAGAAAGCATCCCCGCCCTTCCCTGGACGCCATTTTGAAACTTTCCTTCTGCGCATGTTCATTGCTTTGACCCCAATTTGACCCGAAATACATTTTCCACGCCGATTTTCCAGGAATATACAATATACATTATTAAATGATTCAGAGTGACACAAAAGGCGGTCGAAGACTGTGGGTGGACCACGGTCGGGCACGGCCCTCCAGGCTATGGGTAGGCCATTTGAAATGACAGTAGTAAATTCCCAGGTTTGATCGTCTGATAATTAAACCTAATTGGCTCCAACATTAGCGAAATTACATACCAGGTAAAATGATACACTAGCTATAAAAGTTATGAAAATTAAAATGATGATGTTAGCTGAGCATTTTTGAACTTATTTCAATAATTTTGTTTGAGATATTACAGTGAATTTCTTGAAAGAAGAAATGTTATTCAAATCCACACAAGTTATTCAGTGTCTCAAATTACCAACGATTCTTTGCGGGTCTCCTCCAATCATCATTGACCAACTATGCATTAAAAATTACTCCATTATAGTGAAGCAGAGCATTATGGGTATTCTCCAGTTAGAAGCTCCAAAATGACGAGTGGCTTTACATGTAAAATCGCCATCCATCGATCATTCAACATAAACTTTTACAATTTATAACACACATAATGTAATAATTTTATTGATACAACCCTCAAAAAGGATTAAAATAGTTACGATTAAAATTAATAAAAAGGAGCAAGGTACTAAACTAAGAATGAAGTAGGTTGTCTTACTGCATAAATATTGATATGACCTGCACAAGTGTCACAAGAAATTCATTTTCAATCTATTTTTTTATTTGATTAAGGAGGTGGACCGTTCCCGGAAGTACTGCAATACCGGGTCGATCCGTGGCCAGGACGGAGCAAGCCCCTATTCCATGGCCAGTTTCCAAAAATCAGTTTAATATCGAGCTACTCAATGAGCAGCGTATCAGATATTAAGCTGATAAGAACAGATACTACACATGATCTTAGCCAAAAGGCCGAGAAGCGATACCGTTAATAGACACAAGCGAAGGATATATTGTAAGGCGACCTAACAGAGCATTCGGTTATGTAAAAACCAAAATGGCGTCAATAAATATATACTTGGTTTTCCTCGATTCCGTCATAGAGTAGAGATATAAACAAACACGACGATACTCTCTATAATGGTTTTATATAATAACTGTTACATTAAACCTCGCCTCAAATGTAACTAATTAATTTCATTGGCGACAAACAACTTTGCTATGCTGTCTCAAAACTGAATCACGTGATACCATTATCATTCAAATTGCTACATAGTGAACGTTTCATATACGTTTCCAGAGGGCGCTACATCAAGATCTGCCTGTACGTTCGAGTGGGGACTATGGATACTAGTACATTATTTAGTCTTATTTATTTAGAGTTAAAACAAAAGGTATCTTAATAGGATATATGTAATTATTACTGCTGTGAAACACAACCACAATTCATTTGGGAGTCTATTACGTGGTATTTAGTGTCGACAATCACTAACGTTCCATTTTGTCTCAATGATGCCTGAAAAGATTTAACCCAGTTGGTCAACAGAATTCTTCCATTAATGAGTGTTAAATAATTATTGTAATTTTCGCATCTGAAAATAAAAATGAATACGAGTAGAATTGTATTACGTCGCAATTTTAATGCAATAACTAAGTTCTTGGTAATCATTAGTAAAGTGGATTCGATCGGGGTGGGTGGGGGGGGGGGTATTTACCACAAACACAATCCGATTAAAATCTTGTGTAATGTACTACGTGTATTTTTTTATTTTACATATTTTTAATTATTATTATTTATTATTATTATCTTATTTTGTATTTTTTAAACTATTGCCACATAATCTAATTGAAGGTGTTTGTGAATACAAAAACCTAAGATGCCAGCAAATAAATAATAACAAATGAAGTATATAAAAAATAAATTCACATTAAAAATAACAATGAACACGAAAATAAAGTTTCAATCATACGGTATTTCACATGTGACAAGCTTACCAAACAAATTGGCTGTGTTATTATTGCATAATAATTTTCTATGCAAGTTTTGACTTAAAGATCGGTAGTCGCCGCGCCGCGCATGCGCGAGATATTGTCTCATATAAACAATCCCCTAAAAAAACTAGGTAACGTCTCAGTTTGTACACGGTGATCTGCGCAACAGTCAAAGTCGCTATTTTTGTTTATATGAGACCCATATATCTCGCGCATGCGTGGTACGATGACTGTCGCCCTTTAATCATTTTAGCTTTTGTTTTGTACAGTTTACTGAATACTCTATGTATATGCCCTTAATTAAAAAGCCATCGTTCGACCCTGTGGATTTAAAGAACTATTGTCCCGTTTCCAATGTATCGTTCCTCTCAAAGATTACAGAAAAAAATCGTCCTACTTTAGTTAAATGACCATTTAGTTTCCAACAACCTATTGAACCCACTACAGTCTGCATACAGATCACACCACAGTACAGAAACCGACTTACTAAAAATCGTTAATGACCTTCTGAACGCGGTAGACAAGGGGAAGGTCAGAATGTTGACTTTATTGGACCTTCCCGCTGCCTTTGACACCATCGACCACACGATTCTACTACATCGAACACATTTTTGGCATTACATCGTTAGCGCTTACCTGGTTCGAGTCATATCTGATTGGAAGATCACAGACCAATTGTATTAATGGTGTGAAGTCGGATGCATCACCATTGCACTTCGGTGTTCCACATATTGTTAAAGCACATTCAATGAATCATCGCGCCTTTGCCGATGACAATCAACTATACACACACACTAATGTTCATCAAATTGGTTCAACTATCATGATTGTCCAGAATTGCTTCACCGACATCAAAAAATGGATGACAAAGAACAAATTACAACTTAATGACTCAAAAACCGAGGCTATGCTTGTATGCTCATCAAAAGTAGCATCTAGATCTTTACTAGCCTCGATGATGTCCATTGGCGAGTTTGTTATCTCTTTCTCCTCATCAGTCTGCAATCTTGGTGCCACACTTGATTGCAATATCAATATGTCACAGCAAGTACATAATATATGCAAATCATGCTAAATTCAACTGAGACGTATTTATTCTATTTGCCACTATCTTACACCAAAAGCAACACAAACTAACGCCTGTGCTCTTATACTATCTCGTCTTATCTATTGCAATATCTTATTAGCCGGATGCCCTGACTATTTGATAAAGACACTTCAACGAGTTCAGAATTCATCAGCTCGTCTTGTCTGCAAGCAAGGGTTATCTTCTCACATTTCACCACTATTAAAATCGCTTCACTGGCTCCTAGTTAACAGACGTATTGAATATAAAATGTGAAGTTTGTGCTACTTATCAATAAGTTACATTGACTCACGACACCTGTCAGATTTTCTATGATAAATACCATCCCGCTAGACAATTGCGTTCGTCATCAGACGACCGTTTATTAACGAAATCACGCACCAAAACGAAATCATACGGTGAACGTGCATTCCAATATTCAGGTCCAAACATTTGGAATTGCATACCCTTCTCAATCCGCCATTCAGTCTCAAATTCATCTTTTAAGAATATCACTGTAGTAAATTTTACTAGTTTTAATTTGTTTTTCTTTTCTATAGTACTTGTGATTGTTATAGATAGACTTACGTTCTGTAATGCGCATAGAGCTCATTTTAGGAGAATATGCGCATGATAAGTCCTCTAAATAATAATAATAATAATAATAATAATAATAATAATATACGCATTACGTCATTGCGTTATTATTTACGCGGGACCGTGACGTCATTGACACTGCACGCACGCGTTGGCTCAACCTCTCCATTAGAGAGGTTTAGTTACGCGTAAGTGATTCCAAGCGTCTGGTCTAAACGTACACGTACTGTCAGTTTCGGCGTCTGAGTTTAATAATATACGCATCATCAGCTCCCTCCCTCATCAGCTCCCTCCCTCATCAGCTCCCTCCCTCACCATCAGCTTCCTCCCTGGAGTCTGGATGCGTATGATGAGTTTAATAATATACGTCTGAGTTTAGTTTAGTTTAGTTGTATGAATATGCGTATGAATATGCGTATGATGAGTTTAATAATATACGTCTGAGTTTAGTTGCGCGTTGTAACACGCGAACCTTAAAAAAGAAAGCGTATATCTGTATGTCGCTGAGGGCGCCACTACAGTGTGATTTGACGACAATCAGCGTGCACGATCCCGTATAATATTGCCAACTTTTGCTACTTTTGGTAAGTATAAATGACAAATTACAATAAAACTAGTATATTTTCAAATATAACACTTACCTATTGTTTTTTTTCGGCATAAAAACCTAGTATTTTATGTACCCCTGAATATTTGTCCGTCGCTCTAAATTCGTATTACTTGAAAATGTTGTTAAGAAACATACGTTTTATAAAGCTATTTATTTTGAACCTAGGATTCCACGATTTTAATTTTTATTTTTTAATGAGAATATATAACAACTGGCTGTGGACTATTCATACTTTTGCATTGCCTAATGCAACTAAGAAACCAGATTATTGGATTTCAAGTACATGTACAAATTGTATTTACAAATATAACTAAAATAAAAATATTTAATGAATCTCTTACTATATTTGTATATTATTTTCAGAATGTACAGTACCATTGGGTACTAAGAGCATGTACCACACCTACCACACATACTGTAAAACAATTTATTTTCACTGGTGTTTAATTTCACTGTAATTGTGATGTCTGAAAATATAGTATTTTTACAGAGTAAAATCATATTTATTAAAGTTATTGTTCATATACGAGTTGTAGAACACACTACATAGTTTGTAATTTCATTCAGCTTCCTTCAGTCATAATTCAAAACAAATAAAAGGCAAAAATATAGAGAATATAGCAAATTATTTTTTTCTGTAATATTCTTATGTAATCGGTAATTATGAAAACTATTATGGGTGCATGGGAAATACATTTAGGTATGAATTATTCTTAATAAACATTTCTGAATTATTTTGTCATAATCGTTTTTTATTTTCATTTTTTTGCTTCCCAAAAAACGAAAGAATTTCACAATGTCGAAAACGGAAAGACTTTATCACAGTGTTTTGGCAGAAAAACAATGAGTTATATTTTTATTTTACATGTTGAGGTTCATTTAATCATATACGTTAAAATACATGTATTTTATAAGGTCAATGATTTAAATAAAAAAAAAAATAGCGAAATTAAAAAAAAACAGCGAATAATTAATGCATTTACAGTACATGTGATATTGGTTACAATATAAGCCTACCACGGTCAAGTGCAGCGGTATCGCATGTAGTGTCGATTAGTATACTGTACACCCTATATTTATTAGTAAAATAATAATTTTAGTCTACGTTGTCCAGACCGGATATTATCCGTTGATATTCCTCCCTGGAGTCTTGCTTCCTATCAACGACATTTTTATTCTGCGTCTTTCCTCTGCAATTTACTCCCTGGAACAGATGCAGCTTCCGTATCAGCACGTAAATAACACACACTCTGTAAGAAGTAATAAAATGAGTTCAGTTTAAAGAAACATCATGCCAATCAACATAATGACCCCTCAAGAAAAAGCTCCACAAATGTAGGGGAATGCAATTTACAGTTTTTTTATATCACTTTTCATTCTCTAGATATTCAAATTTTCATCAGTATTATGTAGTCAGCCATCTTGATTCTCAGGCAAAGGATTATGAGGAAAGTTTGACATCCTAGACATAAGAAATATTGATACGAATTAGTTCAAATTTGCGTTGTGCATATTACTCATGTATATAATTGTAGTAATGGAAATTAAAATGTTGCAAATATACATAAAGTGACGATATTGCCAAACACGTTAAAAAAATAAAAATTGTTATTTTGGTTGTGAAATATAGTATGACAATTTTTTGTTACCTTTTAGTGGTCAACAGGTAATATATCACCTATATAACCTACTCACATCGGTAAATTACATACAATATTAAGAAAATTTGATCATTTGGTAGAAAAACATAAAAATAAATATTTTCAGTTCTATTTCCATGACAACTATTTTAGAAGCAAGTTTGGCACCAGTACATATATGCTACCACGCATGTTCCAAACTTTCAGCCAATTTGAAGCTCAACTTTTGAAGCTATAGATGAAATCATTTTCTCAATTTCTGACAACAGACTCTATGATGCCACACTTTACCTATAATCCTTTCTAAAGTATCAAGATGGCGGACTACATAAATTGATGAAAAGTTACGGAGCCTTTGCGTTTTTCATGTGCGTTGCCGTCGTCACTTGGGACTCAATTATTTGAATGAACTCACCGTGTTAATGATGCTAACACAAGTATTACTGCACTGACCACCAGGTGTTCATCATTACTCCAACTACGATACATTGTCAGAACCAGCTTGGTTACTTTGATTGCATCTATCAAAGTTTCTATGGTGTACTTGATAGCTGACACACAGACTAACAAATCACACGCCCTGGTAAGCTTCGGTCGAGCGGCGATGATGGATACAATAAATGTAACAGCTAGCGGCAATTCCACAATTCCTAAAATCGACCACGAATGATCTGTTTGTCGGAAGCCCATATATACAATAGTACAGTCTAGGCACCATATGACTGCAAGGCAGAAACTGACAAAAATTAACGTGGCTACTCTTATCTGTTGTTCTTTAGCTTTCTTTGGGTAGCGGGATGATGATAGAATGACGGGCACAAATGACAAGATGACTAATTCTGTAACCACAAGCCGGAACATCTGCTCATTCCACGAGGAGAAGGACGGAAAATCAATACAATGGATATCTTTCAGGAGAACGCACCATGACCAGTAAAGTGGCTGGTCATTGTCTAAAATACCAACAAATGGAATCCATAGTTCCACACATCTGTCTTCTCCTTCGACAGTACCAATACACGACTCGAGAAAAAGAAGCCGGTCTCTGGACTTCATCAGTTGTGTTAATATTAATAACATGATTAAAAGCGTCAAAAGAACGTAATAAAATGTCACCATCCAGCGTGGTATCTGCAATGAACACATAAATTGATGACATAATGTCACCATCCAGCGTGGTATCTGCAATGAACACATAAATTGATGACATAATGTCACAGAAGGCGGCACCTTAGTTTATAAACATATTTATAAAATAATAGCTCAACAAATGAATGCCTTGCACGTGACAACTGCGACCACCCACCTATGCAAAATGAAGTGCCGGCTGATTGGATGACGTCGAACTAATACATTAATAATAATTAGGACTAAGTACGATGTTACAATATTAAGTAATTCTGGATTGCTCGATTAAAATCTAACAGCCATCTTGAATTATAAAAATGTATATTCAAACCGTCCCCGGGTTTCTGCCCTTCACTGTATGTCTGGGGGCAGTTCAACGTAAAACTTAAAACGCTACAAACTCGTGTTGAATATTTTGCAGAATGCTCACCTTGACTTTGAACTTAGAAATATTCCGAAGTTTTGAATTACCAGAATCTAACATGCGTTTCCACAGAGTAGCTTTACTGGCACCTACAGCTAACATAGAAACGATAAAATGTATACATTTCACAAGAACGACAAACTGATGAATCAGATAACGCAAATACGACACGTAACATAACGTTTGCATCATAGTAGCAAATGCACATTCAGCTGGTGTTCAAGTGATAAAATAAAAGCCATTATGGTATAGCGAGAAGGGTTTGGTGACGATTTCCAATAAAACATTCTCTGGACAGCTGGCTACCCCCTATATAGTGAATATCACTGATTGTGGGCAAATGGCTTTGATTTTGTTCGCTGTCTAAAAACAGTAGTAGTCTTCAGAGAATAGATGATTGAAATATGCACGCGTCATTCCGGAAATACAAACATCGCGCATCTATAGTGCACACATATTATAAGCGTATGTTATCATCATAATGATAAGGATAAAAAAGCACAAGTTAGGTGTGCCTGAATTGTTGGAGCTACGGCCATCAAGTTACAAAACTGACCACACTATACTTGATGTCCAATTAACAGTTAAAGCGGGGAGTCGTCACCTGCGCATGCGTCAGATAGCCATAGCTTGTCAACAAACAAGCGTCTACCCATGAGCCTTTGAGTTTTTAGTGTGTGTTGTTATCGTCGCTTGGGACTCAATTCCCGCGTGTGCGCAGGTGACGACCCTCCCGCTTTAACCGAACTTCGATAACAACAAAAACAACAATAATAGTAATAATACAGATTGTCCATAACTCGATGTTTTTGGTAAACTCTGAATTTAAAGGGTGGTGGTCGTCGCACCGCGTTCTATTCGATATGGGACTCACATCGACGTATACTGACAAACATGTGAAATACATTGTTTGTTTACATGAAATTCGAACACGCGCTGCGCGACGACTACCGCCCTTTAACATCGAGTTATAATTATCACTTAGTAAGTTCATGCATTCAATGCTTATCGGTCGTACACTGCTTACCTTTTTTCTGTAATATTGTTGTAATATGTTTCAGTTGTTCGTCGTCGATAGTGACCTTTATAACGACATTTCTCGTCTTTGCTACTTGTGTCATCTGCTGCGTGATCAGAGTTCTCTGTACAAGTTTGACGAATTCTCCATTTTCCAGCTCTCTCTTCAGCCTCCAGAGACCCGCTTTGTCGTTGATCTCCATTGACAGTTCCACGCACCCACATGTGAGGGTTACAGAACCGGCGCTGTAGCGGTCACAACACTCGTTGCGGAATTCTTCGGTTCCTTGTGTTTTCAGTATTTCTTTTTCCGCCTTGTGAAATATTTGCGTGTTACGATTGCCATTCCTCCGTAGCCCTATATCAATTTTCAGCCTTATAGTTTGTACAACAGGGTTGACATCGAATGCAAGAGTTCCACTCTCGGCAAAATCTAAACAATAAGTGAATTACACACGATGAAGTATATATACATCACAACGAACAGAAAAAAAGAGTATAAGTACACGAAAATCATGATGTTTTCTAGGACTTAATAATTTATAATTAATTTAAAAAAATCATAATTATAATTAATATTTTTATAATTTATAGTTTAATTACAATGGTCACA